GTACTGTTGTCATTAAACCATGCCATTATGATTGGGTTATGTTAGGGGCTGCCTCAATGATTTTTTTTTAAACCAAGGTTTGACTTTGATTCTTTGAACAAGACAGTTTTGGGGATTTTCGAAACAAGATCTGCAGAGAACTCTCTGTTAGCCCAGGTTCATGGGTGAGTAAGATGCTGCCCTTTCATTTATCTCCACAGAGAGTCACAGGGCGCTGCCTTTTGCTTGGCTGGGGTGTGCTGAGCTGTGCTCTGCTGTTGTAATAAAGGTCTCCATCTCCAGGCCGGGACACCTCACCTCTGAGCACTGTTGTTAAACCTCAAATAAGTGGTTTGCTTGCTTTGACTTATGGACAAATGTCCAAATCCACGTCCTTTCCTGAGCTTAGAACGGAAGACAGGAAGAGCAACCAAGCACTTTCCTAGGTCCTGTCCATGGATGATTTCATTCCATCTTCAGAACAATGTTGGGAAAACAGAATAATTATGTTTCTCATTTAACAGATGAAGAGGTCTCAGGGAGGCTGAACGGCTTATGGCCTGGTGGTGCCCAAGCTCAAATCCTAGTATGCTTGACTCTACAGCTCTTTTCACAGAACCACAGGGTAGCCTACAAGTTATTCAGATTCTCATAGACCAAGATTTTTTTTTTTTTTTTTTGTACCAGGGATTGAACCCAGGGGCACTTAACCACTGAACCACATCCCCAGTGCGCACCCCCTCCTTTTTTTGAGACAGGGCCTGGCTAAATTGCTGAGGCTAACCTTGAACTCATGATCCTTCTGCCTCAGCCTCCCTAGCCACGGGGATTACAGGTGTGGCTCTAGGCCAAGATATAAAGATATAAAGAGACATAAAACTACCTAAAGTTTGTTTTTCCCAGGTGTTTGTCTGTCTGTCTCTCCCTCTCTCTGTTAACCTAGAAAGAAGCCCACAACACCAGCTAATGACTTATCAGACTGTCCTGATAAGCCTTGGGCAGCACTCATGTAATCATGCACAAGTTCAAAGCCAAGACACTTCCTCCCTCCACAACATCTTACTGTGCAGTTTTAGAACCTCATAATGAAATGAAAAACAAACCAAAAAATGTGAGGAGCGAGTTGGAGAAATAGATGCTGCCAGGAGGGAGGAATTCACTGACCCCCAATCTGGGCCATCTCAAGAGAAGTTGGCCACTGGCTGAGCCTCTAAAAGCTTAAAAGTCATCCCAGGCCACGGTTAAAGAGAGAGCTTGAACAAAACAAAAACAAATGTGATCTTCAAAGTCTTAAATGTCAACTTGAAGGATAACTTAGAAGCTCTGGGTTGGGCCAGGAGGACCTGCAGCTGCTCTTTCCAGCATCAGATTCTCCTTCCTTCCCCAGAGTAGTCACTCCCCTGGATAATGTATCCAGCAGGGTTCAGGGGGCAGCCTCCCACCAGCACCCACCCGGCATATTTACAAAGGCTGGAGCCCCCACTCTTCACAGCCCAACAGCCTCTCCCTTACTCTGACCCTCCAGAAGCAAGGGCTGCCTAGCCCACCTCTGCTTTCAGGTTTCTGCTTCCAGACTCAACTGGTTCTTGACCACGCCCACCTTGCAACCCTTCCCCCCACCCCTCCCCACCACACACACACACACACAGCCTGCTCAGCTGCCCTCCTCCCTCCCCACATAGCTCCAACACGGGAATGATTTGCAGGTCAGCTCTCCAGGATGACTGAAGCCTCCTCCACCCCTCAGGATAACGGACCAGGTCATGCTCATGGATCATCCTCATTGGTCACCTTTCCTAGAGGGAGGAAGGAAAGGCAACCTGCACCCTAGCAACTCCAGCCACTGGCCTACAATCCTGGAAAATATGAGGACAGATTGGCGGGGGCGGGGGTCCTTTCCAAATAACATTGGCTCCTGCTGGCTGAAAAACTGAAAACTTTTTTTTTTAAATGACATTCAATTTATTAAGTATCCCTGGCTTCCTTCTTGGTCCTTCTGCATAAATGTCATTTTTGTAATAACCTTGAATTTATCTTCAGTTTACAGATGAGGAAGCTGAAGCCCAGAAGGAATAAGTCATGCACGCCAGGCTTCCGATTCCCATGGATCTCAGTTCTCTCCCAGAGTGCTCTGCTAGCAAGTCTGCCCTCTTTCCATTGGGCCACGCTGCATTCGAGATCCAGAGGTAAGTGGCACAGGGTCCTGGACAGAGTCTCTGGCTATTAAGACCTAGAGGGTCAACTGCTACCAAAGCCAAGGACAACCTCTCCGTGGTTCCTTCTGCTGGGTGTGTTTGTCCTTTGAACCATCCAAAATGCCTGAGGATGTACCCTCCTTAATTAATCTGATCTCAGAGAGGATACAGAGCTGGCCAGAGGCCGGAGCTGATAGAAGGAACAGTAAGATGACTTCCATATCAGCCCATGCGTTGGTGGCCTGGGAATTCATCCTGGGTCTGAGGTGGATGAGATGTCTCTCAGGGCAAACCCAGAGGGGCCAGGATTCCACTCACCCTCTGGAGAAACTCCACACTTTGAAAGAGTTGAAAGCCTAACCCTTGGGTCAAGCTCTCCCTGGGGATTCCTGTGCTGGACCAAGAGTATTTCTAGAAGTCCTATCTGATGGATCTCCTCTGCCCCCCACCCCCGCCCCGGGGGGTATTTAGTCTTCTATTTTTTTTTTTTTAATAATGGGAACAAATGAGAACAGTTCAACATGTTACTTCCATTGGCTCTACTAAAATCAAAGAAGAAAGCCTCACAACCCTCACTACTTCTGTTCCCCTAGGAGGCCACCTTAGCCTTTATCTTCATTCCTTACCCTGGACCCAAACCTATTCAGTAATGAGGACAATGTTAAGTCAAAAAACATCGAAGACAGGGAATTGGGAAGAAGATGGACCCGGAGGGGTGTTCTCACAGAGAGCAGTAGTATTTCAACCCACCCGCCCTCGCCCTCCAAAGGCAAAATCATCTACTGGCTTCCAACTGCTGGTCCTGCCCTCACAGCCTCCCCCTTCCTGAGTCCTAAGGCTCAGGAGAATTTTCTCTCCCCTTTTTGTCCTGATGGGGGCACAAGTATTCCCTCAGCATCCAAAGATCCAGAGGGAAAGTCCTAAAAACTGGCTGGAAGTTAGGGGCCAGAGTGTGCAGCTACCAGGGAGCAAGACAATAATAGCACAGTTGTTTTTTTTAGAGGAAGAAATGGGGGTGGGATGAAGTTCATAGCCCAGATGAAGAAATGGGCCATTGATGCCTCTAAGCCTGAAGCCCTGCCAATCACCACGCAGTCATGTGCGTGCTGTCATCTCGTGGGGACCTGGCGGCCCCTGTTTACACGCACTCTTGTTTACATGGTCCACGGGATGATTTCCTTCTTCCCCACACTCCAGTGGGCGACACACGCCTGAAGTTAAACGAGTCCATGTCTGACATTGCTGCCTGCTCCGTCTTTTATGGCACTTCCCTGGGGCTCAATTTGTATAATTTCTAAAATCCTTCCCAAATCTCAACTTCCTGTGGGTCTGTTTTTATTTCCAGATTTCCTCCCCGTGTCCCTTCATTCTCTCGTTTTTTTCTAGGACGTAGGGAGAGTCCAGTAATCTTCCTCCCACCCAAATGCTGTAGGTTGGCTCAACTGCAAACTACAAAACCAGAGACCTGGCGAGAGACAAGCTGACAATCCAAGCTCTCTTGCGGCCACTTGCTCCTGGGTCCCAGCTACCGAAACACAGTGTGTCCTGCGCTGAGCAATCCAGAGCCCGCTGGTCCCTGCCACCCACAGCCCCTAGTTGAACGATGTTCCCCATCTAGGTCCTGGGGGAAAACGGAAATCCAAGAAACTGACACCAAACTCAGAAATCAGTAAACACAAGACTTGAAACATTTTAAAGATGGGAAGTTGCTTTCATTCCTCTGTGGGCTTCCAGGAAAACCTCCAGGGACTCTTTCCTGGAAAGGTGTGATTTTCCTTGCCACCCTCCAGGGAACTTTCTGAATCCACCACACAACTGTGGAGAAGTGGCCACGGCAGAGAGCAAAGAGTTAAATCAAGCCCAGACCTCAGCAATCTGTGTTCAATTTTGATAAAAATCTCTCTCGCTCTCCCTCGCTGCCCCCCTTCCTCCATCCCACAGCACAGACACATCTCTTTATGTTAGGAGTTTGCATCTTGTTTTGGGGACCACACCAAGCACTCTAGGAGAACCCGGAGCTCACACCACCCAGGGCACATGTGGCAGAAATGTCTACCCTGCTCCAGGTTCTTGGGCAGAGTTGGACACAGGGCCACAACCTGGGGTCACCTCCACCTCCTCCATCCTCTGCATCCTCCTTACAATTACCTGCCACCAGACCAGATCCTTCCTTTCCCAGTTAAGTCAGAGACCCGTTGCTGGAAAGGTCAGGAGCACAACCTGGCCTGAGGTCGGGCTCCAGTCACAGGTGCCAAGCGTCCCAGAGATTCCGTTTCTGGGGATGCTCCCAGTCCCATGGCCCTTAGAACAAGAACCTCAGCCCCTGCTTGGGCTGCCCTGCTTGCCGACCAGAGGAAAGGCCTCCAAGTGGAAGCCCCGGGGCTTGAGAAGACTGGGGTTCACCCAAGTGAAGGCACAGACTGGACTGGGAAAAGCCACCCCAAAAAGTTTTCAGCTTGGGAGCCACTGTCTAGATCTGTCCACTTGTGACAACGTAGGAGTCCGATTTCAAAGCCGCACACACACACACAAAAAAAATTTTTTAAAGTTTTCCAAAGACATTTCCTGTGTCCAGATGTGCCCGCACAGACTCACACAAGCCCAATGCAAACACGCCCAATCACACCCAGACACACACTGGCAGACACAGGCCCCGGGAGCCCGCTCCAGTGTCCGAGCTCCTGCAAACACTTTGGAGAGAGAAACAAAACAACCGGCCCGCGGAGGTGCTGCTCTCCAGTGCGCGCTCCGCAGTCCAAAAGTGAAGGGCGGAAAGCGTGGAGATGCCTCCYGGCCACCGGCCCCGGAGCGCGGCGCGACACCTACCCCGAGGCCCCCATGGCGCGTCGCGGCTCCGCAGCTCGGGTCCCCAGCAGGGCGGCCGCTGCTCGGCTCTCCGCCGCCGCTCGGCTCTGTCCTCGACTGTACTCCAGAGGAGCCCGGCGGCTCCCTCCCGCCCGGCCTCGCGCCGCCCGCCCGCCCCGCTCTGACGTCAGGCGCCTTGGAGCAGGATATTTATGGCAAGGATACTCTGAATTTTCCCTAGGTAGAGTTCTGATTGCAGTTCCCTGGGATTTGTAATTTTCACACTTTTAGACAGAACGGAGAGGAGGGAGGGAGAGAGGGAGAGAGCAGCAGGCAGGGCGAGGCACACAATAAGGATAGCTGTTCCCCACTTTGGCAAGGAGTCTTTTCAGGGTTCCCCCTGGTAGGAAGCATGTCAGGGTCAAGGAGGCAAAAGTGGCCACCTGCGTGGTGGGGTTCTCCTCTGCTCCTGCCCTGGGCGGCGGCAAAAGGCTGGTGGGAGCCCAAGCTGAACAGGAGGGGAAATCCCCTCTCTGCACCAAAGTGCCCCTTCTGGAACAATATGTCCCAAGAAAGTGCCCGGCAAGAGAGGGGAGAGATCAGGCACCATCCAGCAGCTAATTAGAAGCCCTGGTCCACACCCTAACAACTTTTCCATTTCTTTTTTGGGAGTGTGTATGTGTATATATATAAAAAAGTTTATTTTTATTAAATTATATTCCACACTCCCTGCTTCTGTATAGCTTTCCCAACTGTGTGCCAGTCAATTCATCTTACTCCATTGCTTTATATACATAGTTGGAGCCATTTACAATAGCTCTTATTCATACTTCTAAAACTTACGTTTAATTTTAAAAAAAAATGTGATTGTGGTCCATCTCCTTGACTGGATTGGAAATGATCTCAGTCAAAAGCAACCATCTCCTCCATGACTGCCAGCACCCTTCGGGTGAGTCCTTGATCTTCTCCCATTTCCCCCACACTCAGGAGTCCCACTCTAAAAGGCCTCCCTTTCCATCACCATGGTGACTTGTACAGAACCTTCTGGGCATTCCGGTCTGGAATTCAGTAGTTATTTCTCCAGCCTGCTGAAGGAGCTAGAGGAAATGGCTTAGTTTAGGGGCCATCCTCCAGTATGTTTTATTCTTCGTGGCTCCCAAGGATTGGAGAATGAACTTTAAAATGGAACATGATATGCAAATTATTTATCCAGGTACATAACAAAACTGTATGGATATATAGTCCCCCGAATTAATGAGATGAGGCAAGGTTAAGTGAGAATCATCATTAAAGCACAACTTTTGTGAACCTTCTGTTGCTGAATGGTATGGAAGTAGAGGAGTTCCTTAACCCCAGCTACAGTACAAGAGAGACCCCAGGACTTGGGATGTATTCAACCTTTCATTTGCAGCTGGTTAGGGCTGCTTGTCAGAAGGAGCCAAGTCTTGGGATTAGCCAAACTGTTTTGATCTGTCCATGGAAGGCCCCAGAGCCCTGCTGTTTGGTCACTGTTGGGTTGTTCTCCTGAGCATCATATCTCACTGTTCCCCCATCTTCTCCCCCAAGACACGGCTCCATTGGCAAAGTGAGCTCTGCCCTGCAGCAGACACTGTGAATGGGTTTCCAGAACCCCATTGGCAAGCCCCTTCTCCCTTGCCTTCCTGGAATACAGAAGCTGGAAATCTGCAGTCTTCACCACTCCAGGTCCCCCTGTGGCCAGGGACAGCTAGGAGACCCCATTCTGGCCAGTGAGATTAGAATGAGGAAGGCAGGGGGAGCTGCCACAAAACTTTTAAAGAAAAGGTCAGATTCAAGTGGCATGCGCCTTCAGCCCTTTGATGTTTCTTATTCCTCCTTGTCCCCTTTCTTCTCCCCTGGAGTATAGATATGATTCTTGGACATGAGGCAGCCGTCTTGCAACCTTGAGAACAAAAGCCATTTTCAGGAAAGTAGGAGATTGAACACTAGACGACATCCATAAGTGGCGCCACCTTCTTCAGACTTCTTGTTCTATAAGAAAAAGAACTCCCTGCATGTTTGTTACCCGTGAGGCTTCTGCCATTTATGGCCAAATGTAATCTTACCTGATACTCTCATCAATTCACCAAAATATTGGAACAGTTACTGAGCATTGGCTTACCAATGTGACAGTGGTCTTTAACATGATGACTTGCACTTGCTTAATTCTTTATAGTTTCCAAAACTTGTTCATAAATGTCTTCTCTGAACCTCACATCTTTGGTTCACTCTTTTGTTGTTGTTATAAGGAAAGGGATCTGTGATAAAAGTCTTGCCCAAGATAACACAGTCAGCAAATGAGGGAATTTGGACCCAAATCTAGTTCTCTTACTCCAAATCTGTGTATCTTCTGCAACATCTTTAATAACTAACACACACACACACACACACACACACACACACACACACCAAAAAAACTTCAATGAAGGATCCTCATAACTCCCAACTCATTGTGAATTCAATTTAATTCAACCAAGATAAAACCAATTGCAAGTAAATTCTAGAACTTAAAAGTGCCACAGTTCACTCACAATTAAGTCCAGTTCCCTTTCTCTCCTAAGCCCCTGCTTTCCCCAGCAACCCTCTGACATCCTGCCCTAAATCCCTGCAGCTGCTCTAAAATCACTTGGACTTTTAGGTGACTCCGATCTTGACATTCCTCATTCTCACGTCTTTGGAATGCAGAGACCTTCCCTTGCTGCAAGCACTCCCTTGTCTCCTGGACATCAGCCCATCCCTCCATCCCTCGTGCACTTCTCCTCCTAGTTTCTCTTGTTCTCCGAGGTCAATGTCCCCAGGGTTCTGTCAGCAGCCAGCCCTTTCCCAAGCATCACAGATTTCCTCTAGTGATCTCACCCTTAAATCCTTAATGCCACCATATGTTCAGTGACTGAGAAAGGCAACCATTAGCTCTGTACATAAGTCTGTACTCCTATCACCATTTCCCTCTCAACTTTAATCCTTTTATTCCAACTGCTTATTGTCTGACTTTACTAGTGTATTAAATAAATAAGATCTATTAATTATTATTGTAAAGAAAGAGGACACAGAAAAGTTTCTGAGGCACAAGAGGGTTTTATGAAAGATCCACTTCTATTTATCAGGAGCTATGGTGCCACCAACCTCCCTAGGAAATCACTTCCACACTCTAATTCCACCACTCGAGCTGTCCAGGAATTAGAGGAAACATAGTTGAACTGATAGAAATTAACAGCAACAGAATACGTGGGAATGAGTGACTTCAGTCCAGTTGAAGTGAGAGCGAATAGAATTAAAGAAGAGGTGAGGTAGGGTCACAGATTTAAAGGTAGCAGTTCAGGGGTGTGACAAGGATGGGAACAGGGGAAGAGAAGAAGAGAGGCTGAGGAGTCATAGAACACAGATGAGTCATCCCCATCCGTGACGAGGTGCTCTTACTCAGTAAGACAGAGGATTTTGTGAACTATGTGCCTCTCAGCACTATGGAGCTGTTTTTGAGGTTGGTAAGTCTGAGAGAGTCGTCTCCAAGGTCATCTATTCACCCTCCACCCCAACCCTAACAGAGAGCCGTAACATAGGTGGGGGTCGCTCTTATTCTCAGGACCACCAGGTATGGGCTTCCATCTTTCTTCACCTGTATATTCCAAGACTATTCCCTGAATAATATAAGGAGACAGTGTATAGCACAGTACCCATCTGGAAAAGTGGGCCTGCTTGGTGCAGTGTCCTCAAATAGCTCAGTGACCTTGACACAGATTCCAAAGGCCAACACGTACTTCCAAGGCACAGACTATCTCAGGCCTCACAAAGCCTCCTCCTTGCTTACTTGCTGAGGGTAGAGCTCCTAGTCTACACTTGAGCCATAGCAACACTCAGGAAAGACCAAAGAGAATGCCAAGGATATGTCATCTAACCAATATGATGCTCTCCATGAATAACATATGCTTTGGCCCGACTGACTTACGTGGGCTATGGGCAACGGTGGAGGGGATCACATGTTAGAATAGGAGACCTCGGCTGAATCCCCAGCCCCACCACTCACTGCCGTGTGACCTAAAGCATGGCAAGTAACTTTCTAAAGCTTACTGTCTGCAATGATTAATTTCATGTGTCAACTTGACTGGGCCGAGGTACCCAGATATTGAGCCCAACATTATCTTAGATGTTCCTGTGAAAGTGTTTTTTCAGATAAGACTAACATTTAACACCACTTGGACTGTTGACCCCCCAGGGTGCTCTGCTCAGGGAGAGGATGAACTCCATTATCAAGGATGCTATTAATACATAGAAGGCAGAAGTTTGTTCTGAACTGGACCCAGTTTAGCACAGACACATCATTCATCAGGTGTTCTGAGCATGGGTCTGATCACAGAGTCATCATGCTTTTCTCACTAACAATAAAGTAAATAATCTTCATTTTTTTAGGATAGGACCCCCCATCGTCTATTATCGAACAATCACTTCCAAGGACACCCAAAGAGAGAGAAAGCCCATAGCTACTACAATTTCTTCCTACAATGTGTCTTTTAGCAGGACATGAAGTAGATGTTACAGCAGCTTGAAGATATTTTAATCTCTCATCTCGAAGTGTAATAGAAAGGCCTCAGAATATGGCTTCGGAAAATCCTCGTTTTAATCCCAGCTCTGATTCTTGCAGCTAAGAGTATCATTTAGCTTCCCTGCAAAATACTGATTAATAGGAGAATCAATCCATGGTGCTAGAGTGAGGATTAAATGATGGGATATCTGCACCTTACAGATGTCCACTATTCTTAAATACCTTTTCCTCTCTTCCCCACTTCCTATCTCCGCCTCCTCCCCACCCCCAACACACACCATTCCTCTGTTTGTTAATACCAAGAATGCACTTAACATTAACATTTAATTCCCCAGGTTCCTGGCATCCTGTTTTCTGCAAATCTCTTTGCCCAGAGTTAAGAAATCTCCCCTGGCTCAGACATGACCACACCAAATAGGCAGCGATTGGAAAATTGCCCCCCTTACAGACCGTCTCCTTCGGAGGCAAGGGACTGCATTTTTGAGACGCCTTCTCAGGTTGTTTGCAGCGGCTTTGAGGGTCAGCTCTGCTGCCTTGCCTACGTCAGAG